TGACGCACCCTGGCATATGGACTGAGGCAAAGGCTAGATCTACACACTGTGACATGTGACACATACCTGGCCAGGGGTGTGGTTCCTGGAAGCGGCAGGTCCAAGCTTGCTCATCAATCCAGTGTTCCAAGAGAATGAACACTGCCACTGGGTTGGGAGCAGAAGATTTTAAGATACGGGAATAAATTTCTGAGATTCTGCAGACTTAAACGTCCCTGGATAAACAGAATCTAAGTTTCCGGGCAAGAGGCAGCCCATTTATGGGCAGTGCCACATAAAAAGTATCCCTCATCTTTAATAGCTGTAAGGAAACATAAAAGAGAGGGACTGAGCAGGATGTTTTGAATTTCTCGGAAAGAATCTCAGATTTACAGGCAAAGCCTTGTGCTCGGCGTTATATAAATAGACTGCTTGTATGCGGGCGATGCAGTAAGCGAGGTACAAGCGTTCCTGTGCCTGCTGGCGTGTGGCTTTAAGACAGCACATGCTCCTGACTGCGGATTAATCAAGTGAGGTCGCAGCTGGTCAGCAGCAGCTCCTGGATCTTTCTCGGAGGCTGAGAAAAATAACCAGTAATTAAAGTCATGTTTTCCATTAATAACAACAACAAAAAACCCTACCAACAATGCGATTCCACATGTCTAGTTTCATGCAAAACTTTCCACATGAGAGGCTTATTCTGGTATTCATTACAAAAAAAAAAAAAAAAAGTGGCCTTTTCATATCTAGCTCACCTGAAGGGGAAGTCGGGGGCTTATGCACCATGCAAATATTGCCAGCGCTTGGCTCCTCTTTTCTTATTTCTACATCAACCACCTGGAACACTTCACAAACCAGAAGCTGAGCTCAAAGTACGGAACATTTTACCAGAATCAGCCTGAGGGCTGGTAAAGGTCCAGATGGCAGGCTGCCCAAAGGGGCTGGAAAAACAGACCAGCCAGCCAAATCACCAGGCTCTATAGAACCTCATGGTTAAGGACAGGTCGCTCCCGGTCTCTTCAGTTTAAACTCCCTCCCCCCCGGGCATTTGGGGCGCCAGGACAATTTGGACATCTCAGAAAGAGCGCCGGATTCAGAGTCAAAAGAGGGAGCTTCTAGTCCTGGCCCTGCAACCAGCCAGGCAGAGTGAGGTTTTGAGGGCGTCACTCAAACGTCTGTTCCCCTCAGCCGCCTCCTGTGCGGATGGGAGAAAGGTTAATGCTGGGTTTTCCTAATCAGGCTCTTGTGGGCAGAAAATGAGATAAAGTAGGTCAAAAAGCTTTGGGGCATTTAAAACAGGACACAAATGCCAAGGATTTGTATTACGGGAGGACTAGGGAATTCTCTTCCTTTTCTGAAGGGGGGGAAAGCCCGTGCTTGTTTTATCTCCAAGAAAGGATTCGAATCCACCAATTTTACATAGATGATGAGACAGAACACAATTGTGTACCAAGAACCTGCATGTGTCATCATTCCTATAATCAAACTAGAGGTCCGATGCCCAGAATTCGTGCAGGAGGAGGCCTTCCTTCCCCCGGCTGCCGGCACTGGCTTCCCTCTGGCACCCTGGACCCGGGCTTCATCCGGAATGACGAACAGGACGGACGTCTGGTCTAATTAGCATATTATGCCTTATGATTATAATGCCACTGATTTTTAAATAAACATATGTAAGTAGGCGTGGTCCAATTCTGAGTAGTCATAGCCACCTTGGCAAGAGGGACACCTATTTAATCTCTCCCATCACTCAGAAAAACACTTAACTCCCCGTTTGGAATTATTCCGAGAGCCTCTGGCACTTTTGTTGAATATGTCTTAGGGTGACAAAGATTTTGTCCTTTGTGGATAATAATGGCTATGTAAATAGCACCAAGCATAAATGTTGGTAAATGAGCAAAGTAATGCCATTTTGTATTTACACTAAAAAAAAAAAGTCTTTAAGATAGGAAGGCTGTCTTCTTTTCATTCTACAGAGCAGTTACAAATAGATTCCAGGGATGGGCAGAATTGTTGTAAAAAGCTTGTTGTATCCTAAGGCAATCACATTAGAGGAGAAAAGCCATTTGGATGTATTTCTACATTTTTAGTCACACCTTCATTATTCATCTGGCAAAACTGGCATTGGACTTTGCACTCCTAGAAAGGGCATTGCAATTAACCAACTGTTCAATCATTATATCACAGCTTCTTGGGACTTCTGAATTCCTCATTTGCATTTGAATTAACTGCCTAGCAATACAAATGTTTCCAATGAATTAACATCTAGGGCTAGTGGAAATATAGACCCAGCAGATTCAATTCTAATCAATAGATTTTCTATTCTCTTAAGTTTAGTTTTTTTTTCAGTTATGAAAAATTTGTCTGAAAATTAAAATATCACTAATATCATTCATCTGCTGGAGTAGATTTGCTTCTGATGTAAATAATTTAAATTGCTATTATTACTTTAAAACAAACACAATCACCCTTTTATTCATGAATATTGCACACTGTGGGCACTTCAGTGTTAAATGATGCCAATGACTTTTCTTTCATGGAAATTATTGTTTTATCCACCTCATTTTTTTAATTGTGGTAAAATTCATACATCTAATTCATTATTTGATCATTTTAAAGTGAACAGTTTGTGGTACGTAGTACATTCATAGTGTTCTGCAACCAGCACCCCTATCTAGTTCCTAAACATTTTCATCACCCCAAAAGGAAACCCTGGACCCGTTAAGCAGCCATTCCCCATTCCTCCCTCCTCCTAGTCCTAGGCAACTATTTACCTGCTGTTTCTATGGGTTCGCCTATTCTGCCATTTCATATAAATGGAACATCACAATATGTGGCCTTTGTATATAGCATAATGCTTCCAGGGTTCATCGATGGTGTAGCATGTCAGTACTTCATTCCTTTTTATGGCTGAATAGCCCCACAGCATGGATGTCCTGCATGTGTCTATCCATTCATCCGTTGATGAATATATGGGTCGTTCTCACCTTATGGCTATTCTAAACAATGCTGCCATGAGTATAGGTATACGGTTTTTTCTTCGAATGCCTGTTTTCCATTATTTTGGCTACCTACCCAGAAGTGGAACTGCTGGGTCTCATGGCAGTACTGTGTTTAATTTTCTGAGAAAGCACCAAACCTCAAACTCATTTTTACACTTACAAGGTGTAATGCCCTTTCAAGGTGGCTTAATTTCCAGACAGAGGCGGTTGGACTCCTGCAGCCAAACCCAGGCAGGGCTCAAAGAGGTCTCTCTTTCAAAAACACTGAGCCAAGCTTGTTCCAACACAGGTTACAGGCAGGGCTTTGAACAGCTTTCTCTGCTGCTCTGCAAGTCCCGGCATGAACTGGCTGGGCAGGAATACCTTCCTGCCTCTGAGGCATCCTTGCTTCCTCCATTATGTGTGCACACTTTTGGAAAAGAAAAGGAAAAAAAAAAAAAAAAAGTAGGTAACTACCTAACTCCCAGGCTTTCCTCCTCTCATTTTTGTAGAATTCAGGTGAGAAGCTGGAGTGCACATGGACATGCTGCTTGGCAGCCAACGATAGGCCCCTGTCCTAGGCAGCGTTAGTCCTTCCGTGGTTGGAGGACAGAGCCTCCCAAGTATCAGTGAGACAATAGAAGGGAAGACTTTTTACCTCAGCCCAGAGATTCTGACCCTATCAACCCACAGACACCGCACTGGACCTGCCCCACTGTGGATTCTGCAGATGTCTACCCTATGGGGTTGGCCAGGACAATGGGAGATAGTTCTACTTACAGGCATTGTTTCCTGCAGCCAATGCACTGAGTCATGAGGTCCGTCTGCCATTAAACCAACCCTGACAGTAACTGATTAGCACTGATTTATTTATCTTTTTTAAACTTAATCTTGTTTCATGAGTTTCTCAGATTGCTGACCTCTTACCTCAACAGCCTAACACATAGGTCATTTCTATTCTAGGCTACAAGGAGCCCAAATCAAGAAGCATTATGGTAGCACTGCCCCAAACAGAGACAGACCAAAACTTTTTTTCCACTTGAAAGCAAACACAGAGAAGGAAGAAGTATCTGGGGTCCTTGCTAGCCAACTGCCAGCTCAGCTGTCACTTGCTTGCTGGTCTCCTGGCAGCCCCTTCAGGTGTCCTGGCCTGAATCTACTGTTAGGACAGAAAAAAGAAAAAAAAAAAAAAAAAAAAGTCCCTTGGCTGATCATATCCTCTGTAATCTGGCAGGAAACCTCAAGTTTGCCGGCTCCCGTCTCGGGTCTGTTTGCTTATCTGCTTCCTTGTAGGGAAGAGCCTGCATCACAGTGTCCGGTTTAGGGGGATTTTCACTATGACCTCACCCTGCTGCAGCTAACATCCACTGATCTCTGCGCCGCAGCCCGCAGCTCGCAGCTCGGGAGGGACTCCACATTCTCAGACACTAGCCAAGGCCTCCTCGCACATCTCAGATGAACTCCAACTCCAGTTCCTTCTCCATCGGGGAAGCGTGGGAGGGAGGGCCTTTCAGGGGTCTGAGAATGCCAGAAAGAGCAGGGTGGGCGGACTGGCGAGGCCGCCGTAAGCAAGTGCACCAAAAGCCTTTTAGGCTCGCGCCCGCGGTTTGAATAACCTTCCTTCCAGCCAATGGCTTCGAAATGAGGCGCGCGACCGCGGAGGTCACCTGACCACAGAGGGGCGCGCACGCGAGCCAGAGCGTCACCGGCCGGCCTCGGGGCGAGAGACCTGGAGGAGGCGCTGCGTGCGTGCGTGCTGCGTGCGCGCCCCCGGGAGACGGCGTGCGCGCGCGCGCGCCGCGGGGCCACCGCCCCTCCCGGGCCCGCCCTTCTTCCCTCCCTCCCTCCCTCCCCTGCTCGCCCGGCCCGCCCTGCGCGGCCCGCCCTGCTAGTCAGTTCGCTCCTTCCCTCCCTCCCCGGCGCGCTCCGGCCGCCGCAGAGCTCTCCGCCCTCGAGCCGCGGTGCCGGAGTCGCCCGGCGCCCGAAGAAGAGGTGGAGGGAGCCGAAGAGGCCCGCCGAGGCGGCGGCGGCGGCGGCGGCAAGATGGCGGACTTCCTGCCGTCGCGGTCCGTGCTGTCCGTGTGCTTCCCCGGCTGCGTGCTGACGAGCGGCGAGGCCGAGCAGCAGCGCAAGTCCAAGGAGATCGACAAATGCCTGTCCCGGGAGAAGACGTACGTGAAGCGGCTGGTGAAGATCCTGCTGCTGGGCGCGGGCGAGAGCGGCAAGTCCACCTTCCTGAAGCAGATGCGGATCATCCACGGGCAGGACTTCGACCAGCGCGCGCGCGAGGAGTTCCGCCCCACCATCTACAGCAACGTGATCAAAGGTGCGCGGCGGGGGTCGGCGCGGGGGGCCGGGGGCCGGGCCTGGGGCGGTGCGGGGCGGGCACCGCCCTGGGGCTCGGTCCCGGGCGGAGGACCGGGCCCGGCGGGCGGGCGGGAGGGAGGGAAGGGGGCGCGCCCGGGGCACCGCTCCTTGCTGCGCGGAGTGCCCCGTCCTCCGTGGAGAGGGAGTGCCCTAGGGCTCCCCGCTTTCCTTCTTGCTGCCGGGTTGGGGGGCACGGCTGGTCTCCCACCGCGCCCTCCGACAGGGAAGTGTAGAGAGCCGGGTGCCCCAGGGGAGGCAGGGAGACTTGAAAGCCAACCCCAGACCCTCCACCCCCACCCCGGGCCCGGGCGCTGGCGGCCCAGACTCCCCGCCCGCCCGCCCGCCCGCCCCTGGTGGGTGACCCGAGTCACACGGGGTCGGTCTGCTCCCGGCTCCCTGCTTCCTTGGGCGCCTCCTGAGCAAGGCAGTTCTGGAACCGTCGCGATCTGGAAACTTTTTTTTTTTTTTTTTTTTTTTGCCGAGACTTGTCAAGGGCAAAGGGTGACAGGCTCTGGGTCCTCTTGGACAAGGATATGAAACTTGAGGGTGTTCTGTTTGCTGTGCAGGTACCAGGGGAGAGTAGACCCGTTATAGTTAGTTTATAAAAAATTAGCATCAGTGGTTTTTCGGCCCAGTGTCAGGGCTGGGCAGGATGTTTGCCTGTAATCACCATGGACACGTTTATTTCTCTCTCTCTCTCCCTCTCTCTAATTTGAGGGGGGCCGAACCACAACTTAAATGAAATTGTGCATTGACATAAAGAACCTTTGACCTAAAAATGATGGTGGAGCCTGTGCAGGTAGTCCATGCATCAGTGTCAGCTTGGATCGTAGACTCTGCTATTTGACATTATTTCAAAAATTAAAGTTATACTTTGTTCTTAAGGGGAAAATACACTAGAATTTTATTTCTATGATTTCAAAGAATTAGAGAAGATGGGTTTCATTTTGCCATTTGAGCGATAAGTAAGCGCGTATTTTTCTTACCACCAGATATTTTCTATCTTATAAAAGACATTTTGGCAAACTTGAGATACAGAGTCTGGTCCTTCAGGTGCATCCAGATTCTCTTTATTTCATCTGGGTAGGAGTTTGCCACAGATTTCAGGTCTTTTCAGTATTTTTTAAAAGGAGTTGTGTTTGTTTGTATGTTTGGGAAGTACTTAAGCAGCTCCTTTGGGTCACTTTTTGCTCCCAGGCCTGGGTAGAGGAAGACTGACCGGGTGTGTGTTTATGGGGGTAGGGGGTGGGGTTCCCCCCCGGGGGTTTAATGACTGAGAAAAGCACTAGGTGGGGAGCTCCCAGACCACAGTGAGCTCCCAGCCCTAGCACCACTGCAGTTAAGCTGTACAAAACAGCTGTATTTATCCTGTCTTAATGTTTAGCACAAAAGTAATTAAGGTCTTTTTCAGACTCCACCTTGCCAATTCTAAATTCAAGGTACCTTTGTATCCTGATGTCGCTGAATTCAGGAATTATGTCAATGAAGAGAGTCCACATGTTAACTGATTATGAGCCCGGTGAATACCTGGTTCTTAACTGGGCCTATTTTGAGCGTTGAGTATGAGATGCTAGACATCTACTTTTTTTGAGTTGGCATGATCAGAAAATGGACAGCACAGTAGTTTTCAGGAATCCAAGCAAATGAGCTCTTGATAGTTATGTGACTGTTGGATGGACCAAAGATAACAGTGTAGTGATAGAGTTATTGGGCTTGCACTAATCTCTGTGAGTTGAAATTTCTGTTTTTATCCTTTTTTTTTGCGTTTGGTCTTTTAGGGAACTCTAATGCCATCCTGTGACTTATACTGATGTGAAGCTTGACATGGGACTTCTTTGAGTTTTGAATGTGTTCCTAAAAGACTCAGTGTTGGATTAAATAAGATGCTCAGGGACCAAACAACTTGGCATTTGGGAAATGAGTGTCTTTTTGAGGGGCTCAGGAAATCTTCAGAGCCTGGACATCATTCTATGCAGCTTTTTATTTTTTCTCTTGTGACTGTCTGCCTTCTACCTCAGAAGTTATTTTATAAATGAGAACATGTTAAAATCCTTCAGAAAGAGAAATGGTTTAATAATACCTGCTTTTCAAGGCTCTAATTTTATGGCTGTAAATAACTTAGTTTTTTAAAACTCTGACAAGTTACAGATGTCTGTTTTGATGTTGATCTCCATCTTTGGAGCAGGTAGGTCTGGAGTAGTAAAGTTTAAGAAAATAATACTGGAATAGAACCTTTAAAAGTCTAATGATTCCTATCACACTTCTTTCTCTCTCTTTTTTTTTTTTTTTTTTTTTTAACAAAGGTATGAGGGTGCTGGTAGATGCTCGAGAGAAGCTTCATATTCCTTGGGGAGATAACTCAAACCAACTCCATGGAGACAAGATGATGTCATTTGACACCCGTTCCCCCTTGGTGGCCCAGGGACTGGTGGAAACTCGAGTTTTTTTACAATATCTTCCTGCTATAAGAGCATTATGGGCAGACAGCGGCATACAGAATGCCTACGACCGACGTCGAGAATTTCAACTGGTAAGAGATTTGTTAAAATGCTGTGGTTTTATTTGAATGACATTTATTATCTGAGAGGTACACTTTCCCTTTTCACTGACTTCCATAATGTAATATATCTGTGCAGAATGTTAGCCTCAGAAATTGGGGTTGCTATATAGATGAGCTGTTTACTAGCAAGGTAAAAATAAGGCAAACCCCATAGATTTGGTGAAGCTGTGATAGTTATTTGATCATTTTTTCTTTTTGAAAGTAAGATAACGATTTTTGTAAGCACTGCTACATTTTTTCAGCTTTTGAAAATAATTACCTCAATTACAGCAATAATATTCATCCCTCTTTTAAAAAAATCAACCTTTTCCTCTTGGACTAAGGGTTCAATAACTGAACTAGGTTCACCTGTGCTATTTGGTCTTTAGAAGTACTCATTTTTTATGATACAGATTAATATAGTGAGAGATTAAAGTCCTTAATAATGTTTAACAGTCATTGTACTTTTCATATATTTGCATTCTGTTTTTGCATGTGTGTTTTTAAAGCTTCTAAGCACATTTTATAAAATGAATTTTTTATTTTTTCAAAGAAAATTTTATGGACCAACTAAGTGGGTGTCCTATTCCATTTGGGCTGTATTAACAAACTACGATAGACTTAAAAACAACAGAAATGCATTTCTCACATTAGAGGTTGAAAAGGTCAAGATCAAGGTGCTGGCACATTCAGTGTCTAGTGAGGGCCCACTTCCTGGTTCATAAATGGCCGGCCACCTTCCTGCTATCTCACTTGGCTAAAATGTATCTTTTTATAAAAACAAACAAATTTTAGTTATTTCATCTAAGTTATTAGGTATCTGTTTTACATGGGAAGCACCTAGATTTTATTTTATATTTATTTTTTCTATTTTGTCTTAAACAAGATCATAAAACTTTGTAGCTGTTACAGAGAGTGGAAGAGAAAGGATCCGGTCTAGGTTAAAGATCCAAAAGTAATAACTAAAATTTTTGTTTAAATCAAGTGTCTTGTAATTTAATTGTGAATGCTTTGATTGTATTCTGGGTTTTATTTGCCAAAGTCTGGAAAAATTCCAGGAATGATAGTAATCTAGACTGTACACAATTTGGAGCTAAGATCTGAAGTGTCATTGTACTATGATCAAAATAAAGGGACCATTACGAGTAAAACTGCTTAGAACGTTGTTTGGTGGTGTCACTGGCATTAAAGCCATCAATATTTATGGGTGTGGCTACAACATGATGTACAGCCAGCAGTCTTTGCCATTACACTTTGTACTCAGAAGCAGTCTTAGCTCTTAGGAGTTTTTAAAAAGTGTTTATGATAGCTTTGAATAAAACTGATACTTAGATCTGTCTCTGAATTTTGGTTCTCATGTGTGTCATACAGTCTAGCTCTTGGGTATGTGTTATCTTGTATAGTTCTCTTCTTTGGTGTGTGTGTCTTGTCAAGTAATTTGTCCATTAATGAAAGGCAGAGATTACCTCACAATATTGTGAAAATTGAGTAGCTGGCAGCATTATATGTTGAAAATTATTAATTTAACAAGTGACCTCCTTCCAGTTTTCAGACTTGTGGTTAACTTTTGTCCTTTGGTCAGTATCTATCTATCTATCTATCTATCTATCTATCTATCTATCCATCCTGTATATATAAAAGGCTAATATGTAAAGTGTTCCCACTGGAGTTCAACCAGGGTTTCTGTCGCTCGCTATGACGTGTGCTGACCACCAAGGGGTGGTGCGGAGCAAAGTAAGGCCCCTGTCAGCCAGGCCTAGGGGCTCTACCTGTGCACAAATTTCATGCACCAGGTCTCTAGTTTGTTACATGAATTTTGGTAGCCTTGCATAAGTTCCTTTCCACAACCCCTTCTCATCTCCCTTCACCCTCTCTCCTGTTTTTAAGGGCTGCTTATTCTCCTTTCTTCTGAATTCATTTTCCCAACAAACCACACATTACATTCTTAAGTTTTTTCATGATGTTATTCATCTTTCCAGGTCAGGAAAGAAATGCCATTTGTAACAGGCATGCTGTTCATATTGACTGAATGAATAAATGACCGTACTCTAAAGTTTTCTGTGGGAAAGTTCCAGAAGTCCATTTAATTGAAGATGGGCTTCACCGACACTTCTTGAATTTGGGCATTCACCTCTTACAGTTAAAAATCAAGACTGTCTTGCCATCATTGTTGAGAAAGCATTCCTAAGTATTTGTCATTAAGAACAAATAGTTAAAACCATTTAGGATGAGGATCTGCATGTTCTTGATTTGAGCTAGCTGATGCTTCAAGAGCAAAGAAGACATTGGGTAGGAGAGACAAGTTCTAGAAACCAATTTTCCTGATAAAAGTAGGCACACAAGAAAAGAGGGACGGGGCAAAGATATAATTTTAAACTCCTGGAGCACATGGATTCCCCCCTCCCCCAAATATTCTTGGCATTGTTAATGGTATCTGGCACCTGGTGTTCAACTCTTAATGATTCTCATACTTTTTGAACATTCTGTGGTGCTTGGCATAGTGTCAGGCACTGGGAAGGCATTTGGCTCATTAAAAATTTTCCTCCAAAGTCATATTCCATTTCTCCTCTTATCTACATACAGCCAATCCCCAGGTCCTGTCTTTTCTGCGCCTACAACATCTCTTGCACCCACTCCCTCCTTTCCTCCTTTACATTATTGTCCTAGTACCTCTTGCTTGGACTCCCAGGTAATCTTGGCCATATACAGCATGGGTTGGCTCAGAAAGTTTTGCTCATTCTCTATTGCCCAAAGAACAGAGTTCAGCCTCTTTATTTGCGTCAAAACTAGCTAGCTTACCTATGATTCCAACAATATATTCAATATAGCTTATTTGGCCACTGCACTTGTCTTATAACCCCTCAATTCCCACATCCCCTGACCATCCGCTTCCACGGCTCTTCACAAAGTTCCTCTGTCAGGGTTTCTAATTACTGCGTCTGTTCACTAGGTCCTACCCTTCACCTAGAACAGTGGTAATCAAATTTTAATGTGACTAAATGCACTCCGTGGACCCCTTAAATCAGATTCCCTGGAATGCTTGCTTAATACAAAGCTAAACAGATTCCGAGACATCATCACAAGGGGATCTGATTCAGGGATCTGGGAGCGGACCCAGAGATCTGTATTTTTAGCAGACAGCCATTGGCAGTTTGGATAAATTTGTTCCTTGGCCACACTGAAGAACACTGCTTAGGATCAAAGCTTTCCCCAGGGTCCCCGGTGGAATGCCCGTGCCCTCACTCTCTGTGGTATGCTTGTATTCTAACCCTCACATGTGTTCGAGTTATTTGCATTCTTGTTTGGCTCTCCCACTGAAGTAGAGGCTCCTTTAGTATGACTTGTTTGTCTTTTTCTCTCTCTCTAGCATAAGACCTGACATTTATTTCCTCATTTTTTTAGACATACTGAATTAATAAGGTTATTAAAAAAAAAAAAAAAAAAGAAAGAAAAGAAAAGAAACATCCCACATTAAATTCCTTCCAGGAAATATAAATTATTTTTGTATGCTAATTTGTTAGTTTTCCAGGAGATGGGAAGTCCTTGTGTTACAGAATAATTTTCTTTTTTGCAATGTTCAATATATATTCTTGAATCTTGGATAGAAAGAGTAAACAGGGGAAATGAGAGGTAAAATTGGCTATTTTAGCTTTAACAATTGATTATTAAACTTCTTAATGCAAATTGAAAGGAAAAGAAAATGTGTCGATTTGTTAAGTCTCTCTGTGGCTTTTTTGCGTCAGATGAATGACTGCCCTATTACTAGTTTTGGGGACAAGGGATAGGATAGTGATATCACAGCTTAGGTTTTCAGCAGTCCAGTCGTTTGTTAGTAATAACTTTGGGTGCAAACATGAATGGTTTTTTTCCTCCCGGAGTTCTCAAAAGCAAACATTTCCTTTTCTGGTTAGTTTCATTATGGGTAAGCTAAATAGCTTACTGTGGAAAAAGAATTTAATCAGTTGTTATAGCTTAAGGGACCGTTCTTATACACTAGCACCTGAGGATAATACATACATCCTAAGAAGTGGTCTCGGTTGGTACTTGGTTAAATGTTTGTCATGCTCAGTTTTGGCTCTGCATTCACTGCAGCCTGCCACTGCACTGAGGAGACAATAGTTAGGGAATTTGGTAAGTTAGATGACTAAAGAGATGGGAGTCCAGAGTTGGCTAGGAAATGAAACAGCTGGAGGTATGTAAAAAACTAAGAAAATAACTAGGGATTACTGCCAATTTAAACTTTTTGGACTTTTAATTGCTTATTCAGAAATATAAGCAGACTTTGTAGACTTGGATATATGGACAGGAAAGTGTGTGACACTGAATGCTCTAGAGCTTCCTAATTTCTATATACAATTTAATTTGTCAGCATTAATACAACTTCCTGTAATCAGTCTTTCTTTAAAAAAAAAAAAAAAAAAAAAAAATATATATATATATATATATATATATATATATATATATATATATATATATATATATATTGATTTCAGAGAGGAAGGGAGAGAAAAAGATAGAAACATCAATGATGAAACAGAATTATTGATTGGCTGCCTCCTGGTTGCCCCCAACTGGGGATCAAGCCCGCAACCCAGGCATGTGCCCTTGACTGGAATCAAACCTACTACCCTTTTGCCCTCAAGCTGACACTCTATCCACTGAGTCACGCCAGCTAAGGCAACTAGTCTTTTTTTGCAATACCTAAAGCCAAACTGTTTTCTTTGTTATCATGGTACCTTCGGCAATTTTTCTTACTCAAGTAGTGCAGTTTGTGCTTGACATAGTTACACTTCTCCAAGCTGATGGGGTAGTTTATTCTGTGTAGCAAAGTAACTATTTAATCTCATGTATTAGCTGCTGAAAAGAGCTGAGTGCTAAGTAAGAACTTCAGGCTGGAGTAAAATATTTATTTTCACTGTAGCATGGATTTGAAATACTATAGAGTTAGAGGCATTGGTTTATTCTTTGATACTGATATGGATTTGCTTTAG